TAGGTTCTCAGTTTGTCTTAGAAGCCAAGAGAGTGATAGATGTGTCACACTCGGAGCTAGCAGAGAAAGAGAACGAGTCACGGGTTGTGACGGATGAGTTGAAGCTCAGTGGGAGCTTCAACGGGCCTTCAGATAATTGAAGAGAAGGCCGCTGCAACTAGTGGAAAATGAGGATTACAAGAGTTACAGATGATGAAGACTAAGGAGCGTTGTTCGAGCCTCCAAGTGGGAGATTGTTGGGCGAATTGAGTGTGGAGGCTCGACCAAGAAGGGTAGCCGGCCCTAGTCTTGGTTCGACCCATATGGCACTATGGCAGTAAATTAGGTTTTTAATTTAGCCGGCCCTAATTCTCTATGTGGGCTTGGGCCTAACTTGGGGATTAAGTTTTCAACCCTAGTTTAGTCTTCATAAATAGGGATCTCTGTACTTGTAATTCTGTGAGCACCTGGATAATAAAAACCCTAGTTGCAAAGTGGATTAGGTCAGCCGACCGAACCACTATAAATCTTGTGTTCCGGTTTTCTCCGTTTTGATTTCTGTTTTGTGTGTGTTCTTGTTTGGTTGTGGTTTGCTATTCAGTATTCTTAGATACCCCAACACCCCCCCCCCCCCCGATGGGACAAAAGATTCAACCATGATATAGAAGAGACTGTTTCCAAAGAGACCCCTGGCTCGAAAGTAGAGATTGTGTCCAAAGACACCCCCGGCTCAGCGTCGAAAGTTTCATTGATTGACTAACTGCTACTTCGTTGATTAAAGAAGCGCAGACAGTTTTGAGATCCACTTTACTTGATTCCATCACCCAAAGACAAAAAAATAATGAATTTTTGGCTGGAGATGATTGAAATTAATGGAAGAAAGTGCATGTTAGAATAATTGGGGATTCAACACCCACCCAAGACTAAGAATTTTATATGGAGGACCACTGTCGATGCTCTGTCATGTTTGGACCTTCTGCAGAGAAAAAGAATCGCCATTAATAACTCACGTCTTCTTTGCCACAGCTGGGAGGAGATTAGAATCTACGTATTCATCCAATGTCCATATGCCAAGCAAATTTGAATCCTTTCTCCTATGGCACCATACAACCACATAGTAACTATTTTTATTCTATTTCTAAACTTTGCAGGTTGCTGAATGGGAAGGCGTTGGATCTAGACCTTGACCATCTGTTGGTCAATATGGAATGTCAGAAACAACAAAGTCTGGAAAAGCAAACTTGACTCTCCAGGAAGAACTGTGGAGGTGGCAAATAATGCTGCTGAGGAATGGAGAACATGCATCAATAGACTAACCGAGATCCACAGGAACAGCTACCAGGAGTTGATCAAGCCTCCAACAAGCTGGACCACGCTAAATGCTTATGCAGCTGTTTGGACTAACAATAAAACAAGTACTGATGGAGGGCCTTTGTTGAACACATGGATTAATGTACCCCTCCTGATTTCTATAAACTCTTTGTGGTTTTATTAATATGAACCACCTTTATTTTAAAAAAACCTAGACAATTTCTATTTTCAGACTAACGGGATACAAAAAACAATCCCATCAAGTCATCAACCTATGGAGTTAATCAGACACCAAGAAAATAAATGAAGACCCAATAGCCATGATGTGTACAACTGGAGGGCTGATTTGTCATATTTCCCTTTAATTGAAGAACTGAATTACCACTTTCTAGTAAATAAATATAATGGTGGAAACAGGACCAATGAAACAATAAAACAGCTTCTTTATATCATACCCGCAGTTTAGACAGGTTATAGTTGATAATTCTTGTCAGAATGATAACCATGAGAGAGCCTAAAGATGTTTGATGAAGGGCACGCTCTTTGTACCATGGGACACTGTGAAGCATCTGCACAAAACGGACTTGATCTACACAGAATTCTATTAAGTAATTACATAGAATATGAGAGTTCAATTACCAGTTTGTGAATGCTAGCATTGAAAGAGGAATCTTGACTGAGTATAAGAAGGACGATTAGGACCATGTAAATTTGGTTGGGCGCCCTTCTTGGAGCATTATAAAGTGTTTCCAGCAAAGGAACCAACTATTAATTCATGAGAAAGACAGAAACAATTAGTTTTCGTACCAAAAAAATGCTTAGCAACTAGGAACAGGGTTGGCAATATAGGAAGCATCCACTTCACTTATTATATAAAAAGAAAAGGAATCAATATGGCAACATGGTAAAGTATTTAATTTCATTCATACCAGAGTATCAAGATCTGTCCTGACCAGAACATATTCTAGAAAATCAGAATTCCCATGGACAAGTGAGTAAAGAAGGAGAACAGAAGTCTCATCAGCCAGGCACCTGAGAGTAAAGTATCCATGAGACTACTGCTAAAAAAATTAACAGAATTACCATGGACAAGTGATTTCAGTTGACTTACATCCCAAGGGTATCAAAAAGAGAAGCAAAAGGCAGTCTCACAATAGGACCATTTTGTGCAGCCCCTTCAACATCAAGACGATCAACTGCATTTTTTTATGAACTCAGAAACATAGAGGATTTTACAGCAACAACTCAGATTAAAGCAACAATGATTTCAGAGCGTGACCCTACATTCAGTCTCCCGAGCATTTTGTAAGGCTGTACAGTATGGATTTTCAATAAAACGTGTTTCTTTCTCAAGGAGAGGATCTGAAACAGTGTGGCCACTTTCATCTTGTGAACTGTCTATGCTGACACACTTGCGGTAATGAATAAGGATAAGCAAAATATTGAGACTGCTCTCTGCCAATGAACTTTTAGAAGCTTCAGCACTAGAGTTGGAAAAGTAATTTAATGGCAATAGCACAAGGTTTGCTGCAAGCCAACAAAAATAGGACAAGTATTGATGAAAGTGAACATAGCCAATATAACTATACAAATTAATAAAGTTAACAGAAATTGTCGATAGAGGGCACTAGAGGAGCGCTTTTAAGATTGGAAGACAGATAATTCCAAATACTAGAGTAAAAGTCTACTGCCTGATGCTAACAAAACACACAAATGACTCTTGAAAATAAGAGCACACATCATACATTTGTATATTGATATATTCAAGTAAAAGACAAGAATTTAAGTGCTGTAATCGTCACATGCTCAGTAGAAGCTGGAGGTAACATGCTTAGCATTCAGGGAAAATAAGACACCATAGAGAAATTAAATCAATCCATTGAATTATGGTATGCTAAAAGTGAATCCTAATTTTAGGATGACTGACGCTTTGAATTCAGTTCATATAATGTCTACAACATTTGATTTTGGAGAGCCACGTTCTAATGAAATGAACTAAGACCACTTCCTTAATCCTTACTAGATTACACTCTGTAAGGCGACCTGATTTAGTCCTTGGTAAAACTATTTATTCGATCATAGATACTTCTGCAATATCTCTACTAACAAAGACACAGCATTAGGTTTCCACAGTTATGGTTCTTTTCTGTCAACATTTAATTAAATTCAAAGAAAGATTTTGAAAAAGCTTTTATTGAAAGTAAATCCCCTGCCAATTGAAAAAGTAAATACTTAGGAGAATAAATACTATATCATGTTAAATGATATAACCACAAACTCTGAACAAGAGAGATGTGCAGGTAGAGGGTGGAAGGGGCAAAAAAGCCAAACACTACAGTGGGGGTGGTGGTGATATTAACCTACCAGCAGCAGAGCCAACTCTCTGTAAAACACCAGGCTGATTCCCTTCAGCAAATATCTGATAAGGCGAGTACCTTGCATGGACGCGTGGTCGTGTTATGTAATTAAGTAGTAGTTTTTGAACAACGATATTCACCAAAGAACTTTGCTGCATACGAATAGCAACTAGCAAGTTAACAGTGAAAATGTTTCTAGTTTTAAATCATAGTCCACATGAAATTTTTATAAACTCAAATTACCTGTGCCATTGCAGCATCAATGAAAGGATGCATATCATTAGGGCCTGGTGATGGCCCTGAAAGGAGTTGAGTTGACATGGCGATGAGCATGAAATTAAGCAGTTCATAGTGCAGAAGAAATGAGTCCATACTTGCAACATGAATGCACTTGTCAGAAAAAGAACTATAATCAAGTAATACAAAATTAAAACATTGAAGAATCCATGAAATACCTAACATCTGCATTTCCAAGAAAGCTAAAGATACTATTCACAGTGAGGTGTTCGATCCTCTGATCTGCAACGAGATACTTTGAAATGAGCCTATACAGTTTATAGGTCTTATAAGATACATATCTTGATATAGGTATGTGACTCACTAATTCCCAATCTACTACTGAAAGGTTTTAAGGATATTTTTGAATTATTTCTACAAGTTCTAGAGATAGTTTTTATAGGTAAGAGTATAAGAAATTATACTACCAAACAAAACCTAAAAGTATACACTTAAAATCAACAATTGTTGTAAAAATCCTCACCTAGCACCTATTCATTACCACCTAGGCACAAGAATATTACTGACTTAGAAAATCTAGGCCCTTCCTCCATTGCATATTTTCACTTATTTCCCACCTAACAGGCTAACATCAATCAATCTCGATAGTAGGTCCTGGTCAGCTGTCAGCCTTACGCTTTTTAGAACTGTGTATTCAACTCATAAAGTAGGTTAACTATATCATGATGATGCAGAATGCCAACAATTAAATTGTGTAGAATGAGCTTACACCTGGGGAGAGATTATGTGGCATCTCCTTGCTTTCATTTAGAGATATGTACAACTCTTCAAAGTTATCAGAACTGGTATTCTCAATCAAATATTTCAGAAAAATAGATGATATGTACGCTGCATTGAGTGCTTTCATGACAGACAAAGATTGTACATCCGATGCAGAAACACACTCCTGCAAACACCAACTTAGATGAACTAGACACTTAGCGAGGTGCCTTGTGTTGCAGTTGTTCTTTGCTGCAGGAAAAAACAGGGATTCAGAAGAACAAGTCAGTGTGTTCTAACCTATTTTATTTATTTATTTATTTATTGTGATTTATACACAACTACTTTATACTGTGTAGTACAGTTCTGTTCCAAAAACGAGTCATGGTTGGTCAAGTAGTACAACTTTTAATTTTTTGTAAGATACAAGATCTATGAATCATAAACTAATACTACGTTTTTTCTAATTTATTTGTTCATTTTACTAAATTTACACTTGTTTGTAATTCTTTTTTTTTTTGGGAAGATACGTTAAAAGGTAGATTCCTTTGATCATGAATCATAATTTTTTGTAAGATACAAGATCTATGAATCATAAACTAATACTACGTATTTTCTAATTTATTTGTTCATTTTACTAAATTTACACTTGTTTGTAATTCTTTTTTTTTTTGGGAAGATACGTTAAAAGGTAGATTCCTTTGATCATATGTGACTCTTTATCCAAGACAAAAAATGTGTTTGAAACAGAAATTGTTTTTAGGGATGGAGGGATTATTACCCTGAAATATCTAATAAGATCTTCAATTCCATCTGTGGGGATAAAATGAAAGAGTGCAATACTATCTGTTATGAGTGGCTCAAAGTCAGACTGTTGGATTTATCCTAATTTTACATACACAATAAGTGATATGGCTTATGATATGAAATTTCATTAATTCCAGGGGACTGACTTACGAACATGTACAGAACAACAGCTACAATTTTAAAGTGGCAGAAACTGTCCTATATGGATATGATCTTCAGTTTTCATTTAGTTGGAATGATGATGTAATATGGAAACCAGAATAATAGACCTCCAAAATTTGCAGGCAGATATGGCTAGTCTACCTTGATGCACATGCAAGATTGGACCAGCTACTTTATTGCTAATACTTGATTTCATACATTCACGGTGTACAAGTTGAATCTATCATATTTACTCAAGAATTTAGTTCAAGATATAAACAATCTCTTCATCTCTTGAGATTTCAGTAAGATGGCATACTCATGCCAAACCCTGTATATGCACCCATCACCCGTCCCAGTGCCATTTAGTTGATCAACAATTGAAATATCATCTTAACATGTCATCTTATCATAGAAGATCACACGGAAAATTCTAGTGTTTAAATTTACCAACATATACTTTCACAAATATTTCAAAAATCCCTAGCTCTTAAAAAGTAAGCATGAAATCCAGAGTAATTACAAACTCGGAACAGGAGAATAAATCATGAAATAATCAACGGGAGATACAGTAAACGAGATCAGGATTGGATGATTGCAGTAAATGTTGTTACCGAAGAGGCGGCAAGCTTCGTGAACACGGTCAGGGGCCCAACGGAGGTAGAGAGGGTGCAGAAGAAGCTTCTCCCAGTAATCCGAGGTGAGTGCAAAGGATTTGTCTCCAACAAAAGCTCCAATCAGAGATTCCGCTGTCTCCTGCCGCGCATCGCCGGTGAACCGCGGCGTTGATGGCACCGCTCCCATCCCCGCTGCTATATACGCCTACGACGAGCAAGAGAAAACGGTATCACTTTCTACAAAATGAAATGCAATGTATGCCTCATGCGAGTGCAGTTTCAGGTTTGAATAACATTTCAGCGAAGACTTGCAGGAGATATGGATCTGAGTAGCAGAGACAGACCGTGGAAATCAAGGTTTTAGCGGTGTACTCTTTGCTCGAGTGAAATCGTTTTACTTTCTTTTTTTTCTTTTTTCTTTTTTTTAGGAAACCTTTTACTTTTACTCTTTTAAAATAACATTTTTTGTAAATCATTTAATATAATTTTATTTAAAATTTTTTATAGAAATTAAAATTAAAAATTATATATTTCAAAACTATATTAAAATAAGTTTATAAAACAAGAAATGACAAAAAAAATTATTTTATCAAATTATCAATAGAAACACACAAACAAAAGTTATTTTTTTTAACCGAAAGCAAATATATATATATTCACCCCCAAACGTAAGTGTACATATGGAATCAGAACAGCCTGTTGGGGAAATTAACGATAACTTGGATGAATCGAGAGTTGTGTAAATACTTTCAGATTGAATATTTTGGTTGTTCACTCCAAAATTCAATCGGATAAAACTCGAAAGTATCAAGAACGAAATATGAGAATTGCTATGAAAAATCCGAACGAAATTCGACCATGCCCAGCGTGATTTTATAGACTAGGGGTGAGAAGGAGAAGACACCATTCGCGGCTATTACCCAAAGCATGCAATTCTTCGCGCGGAAGTTCTTCTTCAAAATTCGGTGCTATCCATCGGAAGTTTTCTTTTAAAGAAAATTCGAAAATTAAAATTCCAATTGAATTTTTTAACATATATAGCACCGAGCCCAAAATAAAAAATTTTCGAGCTCACCTGGCATCTCGACCCCAGCCAGGGGCTCTGCCCCTTGGACCCCGCAGGGGCTGCCGCCCCTTGAACCCTGCTCGGGGGCGCTGCCCCCGAACCCCCGCCAAGGGGGCGCTGCCCCCTTGGAACCCCCGATGTAATGGGATTTTTATCGTAACAAACTCAATGAAGCGTGCACTCCGCACCACCAAACTTCTTTGATGATTATTAAGATACCATTGGTCGTAGTTTTTCCAATTACACTAAAATATATAACATTCCTCCCCTATTTTAGTGTAATCCTTGATTAACTAAACAAATTCACAGCAAACAACAAACTTATGCATAAATGAAATATCGTGACGATTGAATTTCATCTTAGTACATTACACATTTCAAATATTCGAATATCAGGGTATCATTTTGAATACATGAAGATAATATACACTACGTGATGGATATCGGGTCTGGTAGACCCGACTCCAGGCCCAAATAAAGGCCTATAATAACCCAAAAGGTATAAAGTCAGATGGAGATAACGGGCCGAGCCCATAATTGCGCATACGGCAGATCGAGAGAGACGGCCCAGGTATGGAATAAATTAAGGTGACCCAGTCCAAGAAAGGAGTGGGACACGTGGCCCACGTCATTGTGTCATAAACGGAGTGGGAAGAGAACGAGACCGGGAAAGAGGGAATCACAACCCCACGGTCTCCATAATCCTTTCCATTTTGTATAATTTTAATTATATTATGAGAGATACTATAAAAAGGGGGAGAACCCGCCATTGTAAAGCATGAGACAATTCAATACTCAAGAAAAGAATACTATCGAGTGGTTATATCTTCCTGATTCTTATTACGTTCTTGGTCTGCCATCTGATCGGGTTAATCTCATCATTGGTGTTTCCATTGAGAGTATACTGTGAGATAAGGCTGTGAGATTATGGCCGGACGAAGGACGAGACGTAACACTGCTGCTTCCGCCCAGTCGACGGTGAGGAGTGACAACCCTGAGCAGGGTATGATCGTTCTTGTCAATGGGGTGGAAACGGCATTGAATAATGTGGCTAACATGATGGCCAACATTATGGAACGATTGGATAAGGCTCTTCCAGGTCCATCCGGTATCCGGGACGTCCCTGCCGGGCAACCCCGTCAGGTGCTGCGTACCGCGAGTTTTCCTATCCTCCAGGAGCTTCATGATCCGGAAGAGGTTGAGAGGGAGAAACGAGCCATTGCCAGACGCCGGGCAAAGGAGTTGGCCCGGAATAGTAAAGTGAATGAGGACCGGGCCAAGGATGCAAGCCGGATCGTCGGCGATGGAAACGAAAACCTGCGGGGATCCGTCTTTGAAAGGATATCTCGCCAGAAGGCCCACGTTAGTGAGAGGCTGGGGAAGAATCCGGATAAGGCACCCCAGGGTTGGATACGACCCCAGGCCAGCCAGGTGGCATCTTCCAATCGCGAACCCCGGCAGCAGAACGGCCGTGGCGCGAGCCAAGTGCTGGTCCGGTCATTGAGGAATCTGGAGGAGGACGAGGTTCAAAGCCAAGCCAGGGTCCCAGCACAACGGCGTCTGGGGCCGCCGGTGCCGGAAGCTGGTGAATTCCAAGATCTGAGGCAGCAGATCCAGGAGATGCAGAGGAAGATAAACAAGGGTCGAGTATTCACTACCCGTACGAATACTCCCTTAGCTTCAGAGATCTTTGCGGAACCATATCCGCAGGGATTCAAAATGCCGTTTGTTAAGCGTTATGATGGGGAGTCAGACCCCAGGAACACATAAACAGTTATGTCCAAGTAATGATTGCCGTAGACGCTAGTGACGCACTCATGTGCCGGTGCTTCTTGCAGACCGTTGACAGCAAGGTCGCGGATTGGGTCAACCATATCCCTGCCGGATCGATCCGGACATGGGATGAATTGGGATTACGGTTCCTAGAGCATTTCGCCGGGAACTGCCGTCCCAAAAAGCATTTCACTCACTTGGCTTCGGTGCGACAGAAGCATGGAGAATCCTTGAAGAATTTCCTTATCCGATGGAGGAAAGAGTCCAGGGAGGTTGAAGGAACCGATGATAAATCCAGGTTGGCTATGTTCACAGCGGCATTACAGGATGGACTCCTTCACACTGATCTTACTACTCATCCCCTGGATACCTTCGAAGAAGCAATGGTCCGGGCGGGGAGGTATGTGACCCTGGAAGAAAGGAAGGAGGAGAAGAAAGAGAAGACTCCTAAAGAAGAAGAGAAGACTGGAAATAAGAAGCCGTTTAAAAACAAGAAGCAGGGCTTCTCGGATGGCCCAAAGGGCACAAGTCCTGGAACCTCGGAGAAGCACAAATCTGCCAATCCAGTCTTCACATTGCTGGTGGCTGAGGTCATGGCCCACGCTGCACAGCAGGGACTCATGACTTATCCAACTCATTCTCAAAAGGTCTGTAATGTGGAGGATACTGGAAAATGGTGCGCTTACCATCGCAAGAATGATCACAGCACGGAAGATTGCTATACTCTGAAGAATGAGATGGCAAGGCTGATCCGCCGGGGTCATCTAAAGAAATTCGTGCAAGATGGTGATGCGGGAAATCTCGGGAATGCTTAGAATGGAAAGCGTAGAGATAAAGAAGTGGCCCAGGCTGAGGCCCGGGAGAAACGCCACATTGGGCTTGAAGACGAAGAGGAGGATTCGGAACCCGCACCGCATCGCCAGAAGAGACACCACGGGTGTAACTTCATCATTGGAGGGAATACTGGCGGAGACTCAGCCACAAGCCGGAAGAAGTGGGCTAACGCGGCGATGGTCAACAAGGTGCTGGTCCCAGAAGGTAAGAAGCTGAAAACCGAGCCAATTGTATTTTCTAATGCTGATCTCCCAGAAACAAGGGTCCCCCATAGGGATGCCCTAGTGATTACTATTGATATAATGGACTTACTGATCCATAAAACCCTTGTGGATACGGGAAGCTCTGTTAATATCATGTATATGGATACGTACAAGGCTCTTGGTTTGACAAGGGATGAATTGTCACCCATCAAGACTCCGCTGACCGGGTTCACCGGTGATTCTATTGAACCGGAGGGGGTGATAACCCTCCCGGTTGAGATAGGGGATACTAAGGCTACCCGGAAGTTGGACATGGAGTTTGTTGTGGTGGGGATAATCTCCAACACAAACATTATCCTGGGCAGACCCGGATTGGAAGATTTGGAGTGTGTCATCTCGCCTTGTCACCTATGCATAAAATTCCCAACCCCCCACGGAGTTGGAATTGCCAGGGGATCTCAGAGAGTGTCCCGGGCATGGTATTTGAAGGCAACCAAATAGCCGGTCAAGTACGATACCCAAGTGGGAGAGGTGACTGCGCAGCTCCTGAGGGCTGAGGAAAAACGTCCCAGAGTAGAAGTTGCTGGCGACATTGAAGAAGTGGAATTGGAGCCAGGCGCGCCGGGAAGGTTGGTCAGGATTGGCAAGGGCCTGGGGGCTGAACTCAGATCACGAGTGATTTCAGTCCTTAGAAGGTTCAGGAGGGTCTTTGCATAGAGTCCAGCTGATATGCCAGGGCTGGATCACAAGATTGCGGTTCATCGCCTAAATGTCCTGCGGGATGCTAAACCAGTGAAGCAGAAACGGAGGCATTTGTCGCAAGAAAGAAGAGATTTCGTGAAGAAGGAGGTAGCAACTTTGCAGAGCATCGGGCACATCCGAGAGGTGCAGTACCCGGATTGGTTGGCAAATGTAGTACTAGCGCCTAAGCCCCCTTCGTGGAGGATGTGCGTCGACTACACAGATTTGAACAAGGCCTGTCCCATGGATCCGTTTCCTCTCCCCAACATTGATCAGATGGTGGATGAGACTGCCGGGTCAGAGTTAATGAGCTTTATGGACGCTTTCAGTGGCTACCATCAGATTCGGATGCATCCGGCCGATGCTGAAAAGACAAGTTTTATGACCCCAGAAGGGCTGTACTGTTACTTGGTGATGGCCTTCGGGCTGAGAAATTCCGGGGCGACATATACCCGGATGGTTTCTCAGGTGTTCAAGGCTGTCTTAGGGCGGACCATGGAAGCGTATGTTGATGACATGATTGTCAAATCCAAAGAGGCCCGAGACCATGTCCAGGACCTTGAAGAGGTCTTTGAAATCATGATGAAGGTAAATCTGAGGTTGAACCCGAAGAAATGCACTTTTGCTATTCAGGGTGGGAAATTCCTCGGGCACATGGTTAGCCGGAAAGGAATTGAGGCAAACCTGGAGAAAGTAAGGGCTATTATGGAGATGGAACCCCCGAAGACAGCAAAGGAAGTTCAGCGGCTGACAGGGAGATTGGCGGCTTTGAATCGTTTCCTCTCAAGGCTGGCAGAGAAGGCACACCCATTCTTTGCGGTGATCAAGAAGAGGGCGACCTTCGAATGGACACAGGAATGTCAAGAAGCATTTGAAGAACTAAAGAGATATCTCGCAAGTCCGCCAGTTTTATCTAAACCGGAACTTGGAGATGTTCTGACCCTATACTTGGCAATTGCGGACTGTGCCATAAGTTTTGTGATCGTGAGGGAAGAGCATGGGGCCCAGCATCCGGTCTATTACGTCAGCAAGACCCTGAGAGATGCGGAGCTAAGGTATTCCCGTCCAGAGAAGGCCATGTTAGCGGTCTTCTGGACAGCGAAGAGATTAACTCCGTACTTTCAGGCTCACCAGATTGTTGTGCTCACGAATGAGCCTTTGGCGTCACTTGCCAGGAGCCCGGCGGCATCTGCCCGGATGACCAAGTGGGCAGTCTTCATCAGTCGGTATAATGTGGAGTTCAGGCCGCGCCCATCGATCAAGGGGCAGGCACTCGCCGACTTTCAAGTCGAGTGCACCGCCAGGGAGATGACAAGAGCCCAAATTGAAACCCGGGTGGAAAATGACTGGTGGGTGATGAGCATCGATGGATCTTCTGGAGCTCGATCTTGCGGAGCAGGTATCGTCTTGATCACTCCAGAACATTTCTGGATTTATTACGCTATCAGATTTCAATTCTGTGTATCCAACAACGAAGCTGAGTATGAGGCCCTGATCAACGGATTGAAGATTCTCAGTAAGTTGGGGGTAGCCAGGGTTTAGGTTTACAGCGACTCCCGATTGGTGGTGGGACAAATCACCGGGGAGTTTGAAGCAAAGGAAGAAAGGATGAAAAGGTATCGAGACTTGTCCTTAGAAATATTGGGGAGGTTTGAGTTTAAGCTTGAACACATACCCCGGGCCCAGAACGCGGAAGCTGATGTTCTATCCAAGCTCAGCGCAGAATCACCAGAATACATAAGCAAATTAGCAACCGTCGAGGAGCTGGCAACCCCGAGTCTTAACAGAAGTGAGGTGATCTGGGTATCAGCTGATCCCCCAGAATGGCTGGACAGGTTGGCCAAATACATTGAGGACGGTGAAGCCCCGGAGGATCCCCAAGAAGCACGTCTGTTGCGAATGAGGGCACCTACCTACCAGGTACAGGATGGAGTCCTCTATAAGCGATCTTACAACGGTGTTTTACTCCGTTGCCTCAGGGCAGCAGAGGCAAAGGCACTAATGGAAGAAATACATGAAGGAGTATGTGCCGCACATCAGGGTCCTTACTCCATCTCTAGAAGGGCTATTATCCAAGGATACTTCTGGCCAACAATGAGGAAGGATTGCAAAGAGTATGTACGCAAGTGCCCGACCTGCCAACAATTCCAGAATATACCCGGGAGGCCGGCCACGAATTACACGCCCATCAGTTCTGTGATTCCCTTCTCAAGATGGGGGATTGATATCGTGGGAGCCCTGCCGAAAGGAGCTGGGCAGGCAAGGTGGATTGTGGTGGCAATAGACTATTTCACCAAGTGGGTGGAAGCTGAGCCACTTGCTGGGATCACCGAAAGGCAGATGATCGACTTCGTCGGAACAAATATACTCTGCAGGTTTGGGGTCCCGAGGCATATCATATCTGACAATGGAACCGAGTTTGAGGAAGCAGAGTTTCAAGACTTCCTCAAAACTTAGGGAATTCAGCATACAAAGGTGTCTGTTGCCTACCCTCAGGCTAATGGACAAGTGGAGAACGTCAATAGGACAATCATAGACGGAATAAAGAAGAAGCTACTTTCAGAAGGAAGCAAATGGGTAGATGAACTACCCAGAATCTTATGTGTTGAAACACGGGCTTGTCACGTTTTCGTACTAAAGCCGTGTTCGTTTTTGTAACAGGTTTTGATAATGCCAAACCGCCGTGATCAAGTCAAACAATGAATATACAAGGCGAAGAATGGAAAGTTAAACGAGAGCCAAAAGAGACCAAGAACGAAGACCGAAGTCCTTAGCTTTGTTGAGTCGGTCATAATTGTAATCAAGACCGACCCAACCCTCACGCATTGGCTCTTTAGGCTAAAATCCTTCTTTACATTTCCTAAATCATAAAAATGTTTTTTCAAACATGTTTAAGTCATTAAAAACACTTGGTGTTCGCCCAAACCAAAAACCAAGCCATCCGGCGTTCGGGTTTCAGAAACCGGCGTTCGGCTCCCGGTTATCGGCTAGGGTTTTTGGTGTCCGAACCAACCAAGTGGTTTTCAACTTTTTATGATTGGTTTTCACTCTTTGGCATGTTTAAACGGTTCTCCAACAAAAACACCTTGAAAACCATCTTTCGCTTTTGGTCGTTTGACAAAAATCATTCAAAACGGCATAAACTCGGCTAGCCG